GATTTTCATTGGTTTTTTTCGATGTTTTTTGTGTTCTGGCTTTTTCGGCTTCCGGACGCTCCAAGACGGCCCAAGAGGCCCCCAAGACCGCTCCAAGACGGCCCACGAAGCTCCCAAGACGGCGCCGAAACGACCCAAGAGAGCCCTCAAGACGGCCCAAGTGCCGCCCAAGACGGACCAAGAGGCCCCAAGACGGGCCCAAGAGGGACTCAGGAGGGATACCGAGAACTCAAAAATGGAGCCCTCCGTCCCAGAAGGCGCCCAGGAGGTCCCAAAGAGGCCCCAAGAGGCCTCCAAGAGGCCCCAAGATGTCGCCAAGAGGCCCCAGGAGACTCCCAGGAGGCCCAAAAGAAGCCCCAGAAGGCTTCAAACATGTCTCCCAGGCGCCCCCGAACGGCCTCTCAACAGACCCCAAGAGGCCCCCCAAAGAAGCATCTTGACGACGACTCTATTTCGCCCCATCGAGAGACGACCCCCAGGGAACTGCTTCACCATCAAAACTCCCCACGCAACGCGTCCGAACGACACCCGCCCCCAAGAGCGCAACATGGGCAACGAACACACAGACAAAAACCAGCGATGCCATATCACGGGCCGGCGGAATGAGCGAAGCGATTCAATAATCCCGAGAGGGTGCGATGTGCATGGTGATGCACGGCGTACCACGGCGTAGAAAAGCACGGCAGATCGTCGCTGGGTCGAGATCACGACTCCTGTTCGACAAAAGGTTGAGGGAAACCAGACACGACGCAAGACGGGACATGTAAATGGACGGTGCGGAAACACCGGGAACGTAACATGAGAGCCATCGCTGGTCGAGAACACGACCCATTTAGAGAAAACGTTCTGAGGGCAACAAGACATGACGCGAGACCAAACATGTAAAGGGACGGTGCGGAAAGAGCGGAAGCGCAAATTGCGAGCCAACGCTGCAACGGGAACGCGGCTTGTAATATCCGCAAAAAAGACATGAGGCCAACGCTGCAACGGGAGTATGGTTCGGAAGGACCGAGGGCGAGAAAATGGAGCCACCGCCTGGCGGGAGCGCCATTCTTGAAACACCGAAGACGTTCGGAGTGGAAAAACATCGAATCAACCCTTTGTGGGGGATCCGATATGTAAAAAACCATACGACGAGGGGGGCGGGCTACGTAATCGGGGTCTTCAGGGGAGAGAGGAGAACGTATCCATTGTGTGTAAGTGTTGAGGACCAGGAGAATGAATGGGAAAAGTGAGCGTTAGGGAAAGACGATGAAGAGAGGGGGAGGAGCAAGGTGAGTTGTGATTCGATCGCTCTTCAAATCTGGCCGTGGGGGATCCGATATGTAAAAAGCAATACGCAGAGGGGGGCGGGCTACGACATTGGGGTCTTCAGGGGAGAGAGGAGAATCGTACTCCAGATTTCGTAATAAAGGGAGGGGGGTCTCATTTCGGGGGGGGTCTCTTCCAGGCTATCTTGGAGGGCCTGGGGGGTCTGGGGACGATGTTTTGGAGGGTTCTCCCACGGGGGAGGTCTGAAATGGCTTGTCTTGGAGGGTCCAGGCCCCCTCCTTTTTGTTACGAAATCTTGAGTATCCATTGAGATTAAGTGTTAAGGACCAGGAGAATGAGTGGAAAAAGTGAGCGTTAGGGAACGACGATGAAGAGAGGGGGAGGAGCAGGGTGAGTTGTGATTCGATCGCTCTTCAAATCTGGCCGTGGGGGATCCGATCTGTAAAACACCATACGCAGAGGGGGGCGGGCTACGACATCGGGGTCTTCAGGGGAGAGGGGAGAATAGTATCCAGTTTGTGTGTAGGTGTTGGGGACCAGGAGAATGAGTGGGAAAAGTGAGCGTTAGGGAAAGACGATGAAGAAAGGGGGAGGGCAGGGTGAGGCTTGATTCGATCGCTCTTGAAATCTGCCCGTGGGGGGACCCGATCTGTAAAAACCATACGCAGAGGGGGGCGGGCTACGACATCGGGGTCTTCAGGGGAGAGAGGAGAATAGTATCCATTGTGTGTAAGTGTTGGGGACCAGGAGAATGAGTGGGAAAAGTGAGCGCTAGGGAAAGGCGATGAAGAGAGGAGAAGGAGCAGGGTGAGTTGTGATTCGATCGCTCTTCAAATCTGGCCGTGGGGGATCCGATGTGTAAAAACCAAACGCAGAGGGGGGTGGGCTACGACATCGGGGTCTTCAGGGGAGAGAGGAGAATCGTATCCATCTTGTGTGTAAATGTTGAGGACCAGGGGAATGAGTGGGAAAAGTGAGCGTTAGGGAAAGACGATGAAGAGAGGGGGAGGAGCAGGGTGAGTTTTGATTCGATCGCTCTTCAACTCTGGCCGTGGGGGATCCGATATGTAAAAAAACATACGCAGAGGGGGGCGGGCTACGACATCGGGGTCTTCAGGGGAGAGAGGAGAATCGTATCCATTATGTGTAAGTGTTGAGGACCAGGAGAATGAGTGGGAAAAGTGAGCGTTAAGGAAAGACGATGAAGAGAGGGGGAGGGCAGGGTGAGTGTTGATTCGATCGCTCTTCAAATCTGGCCGTGGGGGACCCGATATGTAAAAAACATACGCAGGGGGGGCGGGCTACGACATCGGGGTCTTCAGGGGAGAGAGGAGAATAGTATCCATTGTGTGTAAGTGTTGAGGACCAGGAGAATGAGTGGGAAAAGTGAGCGTTAGGGAAAGACAATGAAGAGAGGGGGAGGAGCAGGGTGAATTTTGATTCGATCGCTCTTCAAATCTGGCCGTGGGGGATCCGATATGTAAAACACCCTACGCAGAGGGGGGCGGGCTACGACATCGGGGTCTTCAGGGGAGAGAGGAGCATCGTACCCATTTTGTGTAAGTGTTGGGGACCAGGAGAATGAGTGGACAAGTGAGCGTTAGGAAAAGACGATGAAGAGAGGGGGAGGAGCAAGGTGAGTTTTGACTCGGTCACTCTTCAAATCTGGCCATGGGGGATCCGGTATGTAAAAAACCATGCGCAGAGTGGGGCGGGCTACGACATCGGGGTCTTCAGGGGAGAGAGGAGAATAGTGTCCATCTTGTGTAAGTGTTGAGGACCAGGAGAATGAGTGCGAAAAGTGAGCGTTAGGGAAAGACGATGAAGAGATGGGGGGGAGCACGGTGAGTTTTGATTCGATCGCTCTTCAAATCTGGCCGTGGGGAATCCGATCTGAAAAAAACCATACGAAGAGGGGGGTGGGCTACGATTTCGGGGTCTTCAGGGGAGAGAGGAGCATAGTATCCGTTTGGTGTAAGTGTTGAGGACCAGGAGAATGAGTGGGACAAGTGAGCGTTAGGGAAAGACGATGAAGAGAGGGGGAGGAGCAGGGTGAGTTTTGATTCGATCGCTCTTCAACTCTGGCCGTGGGGGATCCGATCTGTAAAAGCCATACGCAGAAGGGGGGCGGGCTACGACATCGGGGTCTTCAGGGGAGAGGAGAATAGTATCCATGTTGTGTAAGTGTTGGGGACCAGGAGAATGAGTGGGAAAAGTGAGCGTTAGGGAAAGGCGATGAAGAGAGGGGGAGGAGCAGGCTGAGTTTTGACTCGGTCACTCTTCAAATCTGGCCATGGGGGATCCGGTACGTAAAAAACCATACGCAGAGGGGGGCGGGCTACGACATCGGGGTCTTCAGGGGAGAGAGGAGAATAGTATCCATTGTGTGTAAGTGTTGAGGACCAGGAGAATGAGTGGAAAAAGAGAGCGTCAGGGAAAGACGATGAAGAGAGGGGGAGGTGCAGGGTGAGTTTTGATTCGATCGCTCTTCAAATCTGGCCGTGGGGGATCCGATGTGTAAAAAACCATACGCAGAGGGGGGCGGGCTACGACATCGGGGTCTTCAGGGGAGAGAGGAGAATAGTATCCAGTTTGTGTAAGTGTTGAGGACCAGGAGAATGAGTGGGAAAAGTGAGCGTCAGTGGAAGACGATGAAGAGAGGGGGGTGAGCAGGGCGAGTTTTGATTCGATCGCTCTTCAAATCTGGCCGTGGGGAATCCGATCTGAAAAAAACCATTCGCAGAGGGGGGCGGGCTACGACATCGGGGTCTTCAGGGGAGAGAGGAGAATAGTGTCCATCTTGTGTAAGTGTTGAGGACCAGGAGAACGAGTGGGAAAAGTGAGCGCTAGGGAAAGACAATGAAGAGAGGGGGAGGAGCAGGGTGAGTTTTGATCCGATCGCTCTTCAACTCTGGCCGTGGGGGATCTGATATGTAAAAAACCATACGCAGAGGGGGGCGGGCTACGACATCGGGGTCTTCAGGGGAGAGGGGAGCATAGTATCCAGTTTGTGTAAGTGTTGAGGACCAGGAAAATGAGTGGGGAAAGTGAGCGCCAGGGAAAGACGATGAAAAGAGGGGGCGGACCAGGGTGAGTTTTGATTCGATCGCTCTTCAACTCTGGCCGTGGGGGATCCGATCTGTAAAACACCCTACGCAGAGGGGGGCGGGCTACGACATCGGGGTCTTCAGGGGAGAGAGGAGAATAGTATCCATTTTGTGTAGGTGTTGAGGACCAGGAGAATGAGTGGGAAAAGTGAGCGTCAGGGAAAGACGATGAAGAGAGGGGGAGGAGCAGGCTGAGTTTTGACTCGGTCACTCTTCAAATCTGGCAGTGGGTGACCCGATATGTTAAAACCAGACGCAGAGGGGGGCGGGCTACGACATCGGGGTCTTCAGGGGAGAGAGGAGAATAGTATCCATTGTGTGTAAGTGTTGAGAGCCGAGAGCCAGGAGAATGAGTGGGAAAAGTGAGCGTTAGGGAAAGACGATGAAGAGAGGGGGAGGAGCAGAGTGAGTTTTGATTCGATCGCTCTGCAAATCTGGCCGTGGGGGATCCGATATGTAAAAAACCATACGCAGAGGGGGGCGGGCTACGACATCGTGGTCTTCAGGGGAGAGAGGAGAACAGTATCCAGTTTGTGTAAGTGTTGAGGACCAGGAAAATGAGTGGGAAAAGTGAGCGCTAGGGAAAGACGATGAAGAGAGGGGGAGGAGCAGGGTGAGTTTTGATTCGATCGCTCTTCAACTCTGGCCGCAGGGAAGACACCATAGGGTCTAGGACGAAAGGAGGCGGAAGCGCGCCACAACTGCGGCGTGTGTGAGCGTAACAAGAGCCACAAACCAATGCATGAGCATAACCTTTCGGAGGTTCGCGCAAACTTCTTGGGTCGGCGCTGGACCCCTTCGCCCTGTCGCGCGAAGAGCGCCGGGGGCGGCGTTGGAGGCGCCGCCAGAGGGGCCCAGCGCCAACCCAAGAAGTACGCAAGGACCTCCGAAAGTCCATTTTCCAAGACATCCTATGCCTCTGGTTGTTCATTTTCACTGCGGTGTCCCCGAAGCCCCAACACTGTCCCGTGGGCAGGCTGTTGATGAAGAGTCTTTTCTGACAGTGCTGGGGCCTGACGAGGGCCCCCAGAGGCCGAGCATTAGAGAACACATCCGCACTGACTCTTCCAATACACTGGAGGTCTGGAGTTATGCCGCTTGCTGCTCCACAATGCGTGAGCGTAATAGATTCCTACGGCTGCCGAAGCAGCAATCGATGCGGCCGTGATTGCGCTGCCTAGTTCCACAGAGGGAGGCCAGCAGCTGTGCCAGGCCGGGCAGGGACTGGGGCAGGGGGCGTCTCCTCGTTCCACTTCTGGGGGACTCCAACTATCACCTCACCTCGGGAGGACGTAAGGTAGAGTAGGGCCAGAGGTGAGGTCAGAGAAAAATCCTCTGGACCGCTCCTGGATAAGGGAAGATCAGCCTCACGCTGGACTCGCTCTCTAACCCAACCTTTGGCTGCCCCTCTCTATGTGTTTTCGATCGACAACTCTCGGCCAAAAAACAACCCACCTTTGGGCATCAGCTGCGCCTAGACCGCCAGAGGAAAACCAGAATAGAGACCATAAGGTCCTCGGGCCCCTTCCGAAGCCAAAGTGGTCCGTGTTCCGAGGCTTTGTCTGTATCCACCATGCAGGTCCTGGCCGGGCCAATCCTGTACCCAAGATCGATGCAGGTATACGCCTCCCTGGTCAAGCCAGGAGGGCCCATCCCGTCGCGACATGGTCTCGCGGACGAAGGTCAAGAACATGAGCACTTTCGCCGAAGGCCGAACGGCTACCACCCCAAGCGACTACCACTCCAAAGCGAATAACACTCCAAGGAGCAAAGTCCAAACATGAAGATCAGAAGGGTGCGCCTCCAAAGACAGGGATGTTCTTGAGCATCGTGCCAGCTGTATCCATCCACCTTGCCGATTAAGCCAGGACGTCAAACATGGGCGCAGGATGGGCCTGACCAGGATCGTGCAGGATGATAGTTAACGTCCCCGACCCCTTCCCTCCTTCCCTGTGTCGATCGGTCGATCGGGGCGGGCGACATGGGGGTCAGCAAAGGGGGGCGAATCGGCTGCATGCACCTGGTTTTCTCGGCGCCTCTCCGCGCTGGAGCCGGCTGTGTATCGAGGAGCGTGCCACGCGGCGGCGGCGAAACCATCTGCACGAAGCGGATTTCGGAACCCCGCCCTTCAGCAGGAAGGCCAGATGAGACGACGGCGGCTCTCCCGCCCCGGCCCGACTCCGCTCACAATCTATCCCCAGACCCCTCCCGCGGTCCTCGCTGACACGTTTTTCGCGGCGGATTCAGCCGTGGCGACGAAACGCCTGCAGGGAGGCCCAACAAGGACGACAGCCGTCAGGGACAACCGCTGCTGTCTCGACTGGCCATCCTCCAACCAACCCCCACTCCCGACCACCCTGAGCCGACGACGGACCGCCGATGCTCCGACACCCTCCAGGGCCCCTGCCGCACAACGTCTGCCAAAGTGCGCCGACGTCCGCTGCAGCAGCGTCGCCAGCTCGTATCGTACACACAATCACCGAGGATTGTCCAGGTTAAAAGGTGCGGGCCAAAGCCAAGTTATGACGGAGTTGAGGCCATTCCGTGGGCAGGAACCTACTTAAACAAGACAAGTCGTGGTAGGAAGGGGGGCTGAAGATATGATGAGCTGTGGGTGAGCCAACGAGAAGAGACAAAACACAACAAAAGCCTGCCTCCGCGTAAAGAATTCCGTTGTCAAGACTCGGGGACATGGTGGCGCGCCCATCGGACTCCGGCTTTGCGAAGGAAGGTTGAAACGCTCAGTCCCCTGGTAATACATGCCCGGCGGCGAGCACAAGGCGGTGGTACAAGGGGGTGCCAAGGCAGGCTCTTCGACGGGATCGGTCCCTCAGAACCCCCCCAGACCCCCATGACTCCCAAGAGCAGGACTCCTAGCAGGCAAAGGGTTCTTCTGAAAGGCCTACCCCGCCATCCAATGTATTGATTTATTTGATACGAGATCCCCGGAGTCCTGGCCCATTCCTCACGGCCAATTGTTCGTCCTGGGAAGGTACTTTCCTGACGGTGGGGCCTGGCGAGGGCCCCCAGAGGCCGAACACGACAGAACATCTCAGTCTTGTTGTTCAACAAGACGTTAGATGCCTGTTGCGTAAAGAAGCCACCCCGCTCACCCCTTGCCTCGCGCGAACCGCTGACCAGGGCTGTACGGCCTGAGGGGTCTACGCCCAGGCCAACCTCGGTGGGGTAACTTGCGGGCGCCCGCTGGTGGACCGTGTCACACTGGCCGCGCCGCGTCACGCCACCTTCCAGGAGAGTGGGGCAACACAATTCCCCCGGCATCTTCGCGTGGTGAACAAAACACACGACGGAACATTTTGAGCAATTCTCGGCCTCTGGTGGCTCTTGTACCAAGCCCCTGCAGACCACCGAGAAACTACCCAGTACGTATCCGATTGTGATTGCCCCTGGGCCCGAAGCTGGCCCCACTAGGTTAACACTGGGGAAGAACGCTGGGAGTGAACGCATGAAATCTGTCGGAGGCCTGGGCACGCGAACATAAACTTCGAACGTACGCGGACAGCAGACTTCTGCTGGCGCGGGGCCCCCTTGCTGCTCCCCCCGGCGCGCTGCGTGCGCCGAGACGTCGGGCGTCGAGGGGGTGCTGGGAGGGGGCCCGGCGCGGAGGGAAACATGCCGTCCGCGGACGTCATAAATGCATGCTTAATTGCGTGCTTCTCTTCCCTCCGACCCCGCGGAAGCCAGGTGCCTGGCCAAGGCCATCCTGGGCTCTGGCATGGTGTATACGCTTTCCTGGTCGAAGCCAGGAGGGTCTGTGCGCCGTCATGGGGCCAAGGATGGCCATGGCCAAAAACGGTGGTGTGCAATCCAACAGGTCTGGCTTACTGTTGTTCCATACGAAATTAGTAAGACCTTCCGACCTTTTCCCCAGCGCAAGCTTCTCATGCTGAGTTAACGTTTGAAGGTCCCGGGGGCGAAGGCCAGCAGAAGCCGAAACCTGTGTTTTCCTGTAAACAATGTGTCTGGTCGTGGCCTCTGGTCGTGGCCCCGTGGTCTCCTGTATGGCCTCGAGCGATAGCTTTGCACATTGCATACGCACGTAATGTAGCCTCACACGCTGTAGTATGATGTCATGATGCGGATAGTCATGTATATAGTGTGATGTCACTGATGCAGTTACTCTATACATGGCTGTCTTGAGTGCTCTAAAAATCTGGTCAGCGTTTTCAGCCGCCAAGGGCCAAGGGTGTAATTCAACACGCGGGAGGTATGGGGATGCCCTCTGCGGATCCGAGCCTCTGCCGCCACCAGCATCGCGCTCACCAGCCGCGGCCAAGCGCTGTTCTCCGCCGCCCCCGTGATGAATGAGCCGGAATGCACTGCCGGCTCGGAGAGGCGGCGAGCGCGGGCGGGGGGCGCGAACTTACTCATTGGAGAGACAAGGACGCCAATTGTGCCAAGGCCGTCGGAGAACACCTTGCCGCTGACCTTGGAGCCCGTCTTGCGGCCGAGCTTGGCCTTCAGCTCTTCGCGGCGATGCTCGTCGGCCTCCTGGAACCTCTTCAGCTTTTCCGCGATGGCCTCGTTGTGTTTCTTGGCCCTCTGGCTGCTCTCGGCCAGCACCTCCTTGCGCTTCTCCAGGGCGATGCTGGGCTCCAGCTTGGCCTTGAGCTCCGCGAGGCGGTGCTCCTCGGCCTCCTGGGTTCTCTTGAGCTTGTCCTCGACGGCCGCATTGTGCTTCTTCGCCTTCTGGCTGCTTTCGGCCAGCACCTCCTTGCGCTTCTCCAGGGCGATGCTGGGCTCCAGCTTGGCCTTGAGCTCCGCGAGGCGGTGCTCCTCGGCAGCCTGGGTCTTCTTCAGCTTGCCCTCAACAGCCGCGTTGTGCTTCTTCGCCTTCTGGCTGTTCTCGGCCAGCACCTCCTTGCGCTTCTCGAGAGCGAGGCTGGCCTTCTCGTTGAGCCCGTCGTTCAGGCGGCGAAGGCGCTCGGCCTGCTTGGTTCCAGCGCGCTCCGCCGTCTGCTTCTTCGCCTCGGGGGAAGGCCTAGGGGTAGGCCTAGGGGGTAGGCCTAGGGGTAGGCCTAGTGTAGGCCTACCCTCCGGGTTCTATAAGCCTCGGGGGGGTCGCTTGGTACGTTCGCCGCCCACCAGTCCGACCTAGCGGCGCGCCGAAGAGCGCCGACGAGAGCCGGGGGCGAGGGGCTGCCCAACTGCTACGAAGGCAGCAGAAGTGGGGGCCCTAGGTAATGATCCCAGGTTGAATTTCATTGCTTGAGGCCTCTCGTCCGAAGGGTCCCATTCATCAGGGCTCATTCTTGAACCGCGGATTATCGCCATCCCAAGTGACGCATCGTCTGGCGCCGACGGAGCCTGGAAAACGTCAA